CTCTCAGTGTTGCTATTTTTCATTGTAGCATCATTGGCTGTCATCTGTTACTGTATAATTACTGTACTTTGTGTTGTGGAAGAAAACATTGATTTCAATATTTTATGAATATTAAATAATGCTATAGCTCCTACCATCAGCCACAGTGACCTGCATGAGTATTAAAATTGTGATTTTCCCCTTGATAAAACTTTGCTCCAGCACACATGGACCAAGTTCTCATCATTGCCTTTAAGGCTCATCTATTCACTTCCCCGTACAAATATTTGTGGACGATGCCAAGTTATTAAGGGAAATTAAGAACCAAACAGACTGTGAAGCACTACAGAAAGATCTCTATCAGCTTCAAGAGTGGTCGAAGAAATGGCTGGTAAAATTCAATGTCATGAAGTAACACAAAATTGTACCAACAGTATGGAAGCATATCACATGTCCCAATGGGATGAAGAAACAGCATTAATAGAGACAGAATGTGAAAAGGACAGTGAACTGAAGAGTTCTCTGGCCATTGTGAGAAAGTGAATCAAGTAACTAAGCTAATAGGCCTTATAAGAAGGTTGTTCAGATATCAAGACGGTCCGTGCCTCGTGACACTCTTCAAGAGTGAGGTGCTTCCCCGCCTGATCCCCAATACAGTATATGCCGAAGACTGTCAGTTGATTGAAAATGTCCAATGAAGGGCCACCAGACTGGTGCCTGCACTATGGCACCTGTTACCCAGCAAGATTAAAATGCTTGCAACTGCCTAGCTTATACTACTAGATGGGCAAGAGGTAACCTAATTGAAGTTTATAAACATCTCGGAGGGTACTTAGTCGAGTGTCCATACCTGAAGCTGGCAAAAGACTGCAAGGGCTCACAGCTCAAGTTTGAAGAAGCCACAAGTCCAGAAAATTGTGAGGGCAAATTGACTGACATTTCGTGCAGGCACAAATACATTCTGGAGCCAGTACATGTCTAGGACTGTACTTACCAACAGTGCATAACAGAGATGTGGCCGATCACCCAAGCAGCTAACGAGCCGATCAGTGGCAAAGAGGATAAAAGTAAAAAGTTATCACCTACGACACTCCTTAAGTCAGCTCATCAGTGTCCCTGAAGGAGAACACAAGCCTTCTGTGAGAGAAATTTAGCAGTTATAATACAGTGACCCCTCGTTTAACGAACACCTCGGTTAACGTAATTTCGATTAACGAACTGCCTTCCATAAGGATCTTCAATTCGTTTAACGAAAAAAATTTCGCTTAACGAACTTCTTACGAACCGACCTCAACATGTTTTCGCTTGCACTGACCGGGCAACCAGCTTTAGTATCAGTCCGCCAATACATTAATCGGTTCTAGGGCTTAAATTCCTTACTATTTTTGTAAATATCAAGAAGTTTATACTATTCAATAATTTTAAAAGTTTAATATTCAATTTTTTAGTCATTTTAACAATTATTGAACATAATTGAAGGTAAAGTGACTAGTTTAATGCGCGGCATCCAGCCTCTTAACACAGCAAACAGGCGTCAGTCTCTCTCTGTTTTCACTGGAGGTAACATCTTGCTTGAGACTCTCTTCAACTAAACGCTTTTTTTCTGTGTTTCCAAGCAAATTATTGGTCATTTTGAAAATTATTTTACATATTGACAATATATAGTGCAGTGCAGTGTTACTTTAAAGAAAATATTCTTTATTTACAGCTAGTTTAACTTTGAAAAATACGTGTTGCCATTGTTTGAATCCAGCATGGGGCCTAAGAGATCAAGAAATGTGATTTCAATCCAAATAAAGCAGGAAATAATAAAAAAACACGAACAAGGTATTAAATCAAATGCGCTATGCAAAGAATATGGCATGTCGGCATCAACTGTGTCGACAATTCTTGCACAAAAAGACAAATTTAAGGAAGTGAACGTGAGAGACAAATCTACAAGAGTATTTAAAAGTAGATCCCTAATCGTAGAAACTGAGAGGTTACTTATCATCTGGATTAGGGAAAAACAGATGAAAGGTGATTCAGTTTCTGGTGATTTCATTTGTGAAAGAGCCAGGGAGATTTATGAACATTTAAAGACAGATCAACCTGGTTCTTCAGGAACAGAATTTGAAGATTTTCGGGCTAGCAAAGGCTGGTTCGAAAAATTTAAGAAAAGAAGTGACATTTTAAGTATTGTTAGGCATGGTGAAGCTGCTAGTGCTGATAAAGAAGGGGCAGCAAAGTTTTTAATTGAATTTAAAAAACTGATGGAAGAAGAAAATTATCTTCCACAGCAAGTGTTCAATGTTGACGAAACTGGGCTGTTCTGGAAAAAGATGCCCAAAAGAACATTCATCACCAAGGATGAAGCCTCTTTACCTGGGCATAAACCCATGAAAGACCGTCTCACTCTATTGCTTGGTGCCAATGCTTCAGGGGATTTCCGACTGAAGCCTATGCTTGTCTACCACTCTGAAAACCCCAGGGTGTTCAAGCAACAGAAAGTGGTAAGAACAATGCTTGGAGTTTATTGGAAGTCCAACCGTAAGGCATGGGTGACAAGACAGTTCTTTAATGAATGGGCTGTTGATGTGTTTTGCCCCTCTGTCAAGAGCTACCTAACCACCAATAAACTTCCTTTAAAGGCTCTTCTCCTCATGGATAATGCTCCTGGTCATGACCCTGACCTTGCCAGAAATTTGGAGTATAAATTTGACTTTGTGAAAGTGTTGTTTTTGCCTCCAAACACTACATCACTCATACAGCCAATGGACCAGAATGTGATCAGCAACTTCAAGAAGTTGTACATGAAGAAAATGTTTAGGAGGTGTCATCAGGCAACTTCCATTGATCCTGAACTAACACTGAAACAGTTCTGGAAGACACAATTCAACGTCCTGGAGGCTGTAAAATTGATTGTGTCATCATGGCAAGAAGTCTCCAATAGAACCCTCAATTCTTCATGGAAAGCACTGTGGCCATCAGTAGTCCATGATTTTGAGGGATTTGAGGATGACACAGAGTTGGACCAGGAGATTGTGTCCATTGGTCAGTCATTGGGTCTTGAAGTGGAGGAGAAGGATGTGGAAGAGCTTGTGATGTCTCATGAGGAGGAACTTACTCCTAATGACTTGAAGGAACTGGATGAGATGTTACGGGTAGAGGCTGACAGTGGTGAGGAGGAAATTGAAAGTGATGACCATATGTCAGCTAAACAGTTGAAAGATGTGATTTACCACTGGGAGAAGTTCAGGGAACTGGCTTCAAAGCACCCAGAAGTGGAAAAAACTGAACTAACTTTGTGTCATGTTGAGGACTCAGTGGTCTCCTTCTTTAAACATAAGTTAATGGTGAGGAGGACAGATGCCCCACAGACCACAATTGACACTTTCTTCAGTAAAAGGCAGAGGGAACAAGATGCTAGCCCTCAGCCTTCCACTTCAAGAAGGAGAGAGGATGTTCATGGTGGAGAATCTGTCAGTCCAGAGGTTCCTGACATTTTCATGGAAGGTGACTCACCTTCCAAGAAGCAGTAAAATGCTTCTCCTCCACCTCCACTTCCTTCTCTTCTCCCTTCTCCTCCTGCACCTCCCACTTCAAATGCACATCATCACCATCATCCAGGAGCCTTCTACATACACACCTCAAAGTAAGTAAATTTTTCCGCCATTTTTGTTGAAGTTAGGAAATTTTCGGTGAGCTGGAACCAATTACCCAAAAACCCATTGAAACAATGGTTTCGGTTAACGAACGTTTCGGTTAACGAACGACCTTTTGGAACGGATTGAGTTCGTTAACCGAGGGGCCACTGTATATCAAGAACCTACAGTATTTACATTTATCATTATTATGAAAAAAAATGATTCACATTTAGTGTTACAGTAGAAAGTCGATATAACATAAGATATGTTCCAAGAGAGTTCGCTTTAAACCGAATTCGCACTATATCGAAGTGTTGCTTCAATGGAATAATTTAGTTTGGTACTTGAGAGAAACACAAAATATTAAAAAGACTAAGTCTATACCCAGATGCACCTCAGCCCATCTCCTAGAATAAACAAAACATTGTTTTTGTAGTATTATGTTAAAAAACAATCATAAATCAACACAGCTAAAATCAAGGGATGCGAAATGGTCCGTTTACTAGCGATCAGCTGATGTGAGAGAGTGGTCGCGCTAGCGCCGTGCTCCACCCGCCTCACCAAGCACTTTCACTTTCCTCTCAACTTAGTTTTCAATTACTTTATGCTATCAAAAATAGATTTCACTCAACTTTAGTTAGGCAATTCATCATCTGAAGATGCAGAGCCCAACTGTCCAAATTGGTGCCCCACACTTGAAGCACCATTTCCTCGCTGCAGTGCTTCCAGCACCTTGATTTTCTGCTACAGTGTAATTGTTTGCCTTGACTTCTTGGCCTTTGGGGTAGTTAATGATGTAGTAGCTGGCCTCTTGGACATAGTGGCGATGGTTGATGCACGTGGTAGAGGGAGATAGTGTCACACAATATGTCCGTTTACTAGAGCGTCAGTGTGAGAACTGAGTATGTGGGAGGGTGGCAGGCAATCGTGTAGCATGCCCAGAGATGCTTCTGGCAGTAAACATCAGGCGCAAAATCTAAAAGTGTGAATTTTCATATGATGCGCCAGATTGACTCGCGTAAAATAGGAAAGATTCGTTTTAAATTAATTCATTGTCCTTAATTGTAGGTGTCACTTTAAATCAATAATTTTAAATTGAATCTCTTTAAATCAATGTTCTATTGTATTTTATTTAAAGTCACACTTTCCCGGAATACAATGTATGATGGCAAGCAGGGACCTCCTGTATGGTACTGTATACCCAAACCAGAATTATTAATTAAGATGCAAAGGAAATGAAGATCATTACAGTAAAATCCTGTTTTTACTAAGTGGCTTGGGATCGAATTAATTCCATATAAAAGAATTTTCCTTATAACCAGTATTGGATAGTGAAATTATATAGTGAAATACATACACAAAAATATGAATGACCTTGAAAAATAAACATGTAGACTTATGTTTTTCTTCATTAACAAATTAATACTGTACACCTTATACATAATATCAATACAAAATTACTGCACACTGTACAACCAGCTGACCTGGCTGCCGCTGTCTCTGTGCAATTTAATGGCTGTAACTCACAAACTTCTGTGCTGTTATTTATCACTATTACTGTATTTTTCTTTAGCTACAACGTTATAAGATAATCTAATATTAGGTTAACTCCCTTTCTCCCAACAGACAACTACACAGTGACCTTTACCCCCTTGGCAACTCCACCCCCTGTGACAATTATTCCCAGTGACTTTTACCCCCTGGATACCCCCTGGACAACCCCCCCCCCCCCCTTGTGGCATTGTGAGATTTACCCCACATGACTTTCATCCCCAGACAACTCACACGGACATGGTGCATAACTTATAACTATGTCACCTATAGTAGTCAGAGCAGAGTGATGCATGTTGGATCTTGTTCGAACATTTCAGCTGCTGACCTTCAGGTATGGAGACCCACCAACACAGCTCGAAACATTTACGAGAGAAATTCTGGATATTGGTTTGGGTGTTTAATTAGTAAAGAAATTGCCCAACCTTACACTATGATATAGGAAATGTGTGAAAAATACAGGGCTTCTTCTCTGATGAAAATAAAGGAGATATTTGAAGAAATGAAACAAGAAAAGGCAGAGTAAGATAAAATCAAAGGGAAGCAAAGACATAGCGAAAAAATATGAAGATTATACTCTGAAGGATAGTGGGATTACAGAGTTTACATCCCAGATAACAAGTAATTGCATTGTGAATTTGGCATCAGTGAGAAAGAATCACTCCCACAAAAAGGCATCTTATCTATTAGGAAATTGAATTCAACTTGCTTGTTCATTAAAAATAATACATTTTCAAAATGTAAGTGAATACAGAAGCACAACATTTATATTTAACCCTGCAGAGTCAAAGTTAGAATTCTGATGTTTTGATACTGGGTCACCCTCGACATAAATATAAAATAATGTTAATTACCTATGGCTGTTTTGTCGAGATGTTTTATAACTATAACAGCTGTCTTCGGGAGCCAGAGTTACTCAGCCAACTAAGGTGTGGGGGTTAGAGTCAAGATCAGCCCCAACAAGATCAGTTGGGGATTAATTAGAATATATGAACCACTCTCTCCTCCTATTACCATATATGGTAAGCAGTGTGCATCCCTGCAACAATCCTGCAAAGAATTATGAGCAGTGGATCAACCAGCTTCAACAAGGAATATATGTGTCATTTCTTACCTTAGCATTTGTCAAGAGTTACTTACAGTCTAGGCCACACAGTCACTAAGATTTCCTGAAAGTGAAACAGTTTTCCAAAGTGTTTTTGACAAGTCGTCTATAATGCGGCTGATAGGTGTAACTCAACTTTGACTCCTATCTCTAAAACACCCCCTTGGGTTCTGGTTATAGGCAGTGAGTAAGGCTAAAATTCTTATTAATTCATCACTGCTATTGTTGTAAGGGTGTCTGAATTGTGACCCCACAAACATGGCTGGGTTAATAAGAGATCCCCCAGTCTGGTCTCAGTCATAAAATGGAATTTCACGATCTATAACCATTTCTGAGTGCAAATATCTATAAAATACATTCTTCTAATAAAGAAAATAGCTGTAAACAAGAACCATATCAGTCAAGATGCTGTACTTATATTACAAAATGTATTCTAATAATACCTAAGTATAGAACTAGTAACTTGGTCTTTGGATGGCAATTTACACATTTCTTCTTTTTCTTTAATGGTTTGTTATACAAATGTCATCACATATCATCAAGTCCAAAATATATTACTTGACAAATGTTGTCTATTATTATCTGCTACCAGAGGCCTACATACATGGAATATTTCCATTCTAAATTGTGATGAATACTTTCCTATACTTATCATATGATACTTTAAGCAATCTTAAGCCATATCAACATTTTAAATTTACAATTATGGTAATTCCATCTTCATATATCTACAGAACTGTATTCCATGCACCCAACAGCACATGAATCCCCAAAACACAGAGACAAAGGTCTATTACTTGTCACATCACACTATACACTGGGGAGGTAGGGACGGAGACAGCTATGAAACGAGGATCCTCCAATCATATCGCATATTAGCTGAGTGGGTAGCAGGTGGGATTGGTGGCTCCTCCAAGGACCAGCTGCCCTTAGTGTCCTGAGCAGCAAAAGCAAATGAGCAGTAGGGGATCTGTTGGGAGGTTAAGGTTGAAGTTAACTGGTAAAAGATTATTAGCTTAGAAAAGTGAATGTTATTACTGGTGACATATATACAGTAAGATGCTAGCTCTTTAGTATCAGTTACAACAATACAGAAAGGGAATGGAAGGATAAATTTGAAGATAAGAATGTCTTCATTAATGAGTCAAGAATAACACATCATTATGAAAAACATTATTATGGTCCGTGGCAAAGAAGATAACATCTCCAAGCTACAGAGCCATAGATATATTTTGTCTGGATATTGCTTATTTACAATACACAATATACATACAAAATTCTCTTTAAAATATACTGTAATGTTAAGCATTCCAACTAAATAGTGAAAATGCACGAAACAAAACACACAAGATCCAGAATGGAAAACCAGTGAACAGAGGAGAGCCAAACTAGCCACCATGCTACAAATTGTAAAGAAAGAAGCGCATTCATTTATATGAATGCTTTAGTATTATACTAGATTATTAAAAAAACAATCTTTAATATTACAAACAAAAGTACAAGTGGCTCAAAACTAAAATGTCAATTAACTAGAGACACATGATAACATTATTTTACATATAACTTCCTGCTTTATTCATTGCTTGTGAAGTCATTTATTCAAGTAAATACAGAGCTACATATATACTGTAATTACAGCTGTAAAATGTACTGTAACTCGCTATGTTTTTTTTTACTATAATTCTGTAATAAACTTTAAATTCTTACACTGATATTTTCCATTAAAATCTTTGCAAAAACTGAAAAGAGAGTTAATCTAGCACTGATACACATAAGAAATTAGAGGTGTGGTTAAGTTCGCTTGTAGCAACACCTAAAATTCTCCACACACGACTGCTAGTTTTATATACAGTACTGTACAATACTATATATTTACTGGTTAAATGAGAGTTTTCTGTATTAGTTATGCAGGAAATTTATGTCAAGTTCAAAATGTTAATAAAGAATAATATATACAGTAACTGTATTTCTAATTAAATTTTCTTCAAAGTTTAAGACCAAACGATGAAGGATAAATTGTGGTTAACAAACACATATGCTATTTTGCAACATTATACAAGCAGGCAGGTCATATCAGAACACCACAATAAAGTACAATATGCACATGACCTTGATCTGTAGTAAACAGCCAGTTAAAGTGAACAACACACCGGGAACAGTACTATTATACAAGGGTACATGCAAATTTTAATGTCAACACAATAACAGTGACATATATTGCCACTTTATAAAATGCCAAAATATATGTATGTATGTATGTATCTTTTCATGGCCCTCTAACATTCATCTGTGTCAATCATTCCATTCCATTTCCAACATGTACAGTATTTAAGAAATAAAGCTAATACCCACTGTCCTATACCTCATCACAATTTATGTCTGGGTGAGAATAACAAATTTTGGTCGTTATTCATTTCAATAGTACTACTTTATCCTTCAGAAATTCACAATACCTTTAAAGAACAAAGTTGTGGCAACCCTCAAGACTTGTACATGAAAACATGGAGAGGACAATAAACCCTCACAAGTTTGGTTCTTGTAAGAGTAACATTTTGTATGTCAGAAAAGCAATAATTGAGAAAGTGCTGTATAACCATTCATTATTTGGTAAAGGACTTATATTGAGAAAATAACATCGTAAAATTACTAAACATGTGTAAATACTGTATATATAATGGACTAATAAAGCATTAATTATAGTACTGTACAGGTACAGTACTTGACACCATATGTACTGTACAGTACATACTGTACTGTACAGTACTACCTGTATACAATGCACTGCAGCTTCAAATTAAATAAAATTTCGCTACTGTAAATACTGATTCAAGTTCATCAGCAATGTAATTGTTGCTGTGGCAATGAACTTAAGATTGAAATTTTTACAGTATACAATATAATTTTTCCTTCCTCTCTAATTATTATAAGTGAATCTTTATGACTTCAGCAAATATGTTTTTCTAAAAAGGAGGGTGAAATTTTAAATAATAAAGTGGCACTGATAACTTAATAATGACCCAAGACTACAATTGTATGAAAATGTAAGTTATCAGACACTTTCCATAAAGCACCAAATGTTTACAACGACCAAACTATCTCAAGTACAAATACTTTCCTAACACAGTTGACATGTATCAGTTCTCTCACAGGTCATTCCATGAAAAACAACAAAACACAAATAGAACAAATTTAATGGTCATGCATCAGGTTCCAGTACTACTATGTATAAAACTACGTATTACTTATTAGTGAACGAGATCTATCATATTGATGTTCTGAATGAATTTTGTTCACCTAATATAAACTATGCAAATCAAATCAAGTTAAAATCAAGTATTCCGAGAAATTTAATACATTATAATAATAATAATAATAATAATAATAATAATAATAAAATAATAATAATAATAATAATAATAATAATAATAATAAAAATAATAATAATAATAATAATAATAATAATAATAATAATAATAATAATAATGGATGCCCAAGGGCCACCTAGGCATGAATTTGCTTAAGGTGTAGTAGCTGTTGCCAACCCAACAACATCACCCTGAGTTAACGAGCTGCATGACCCAGTGTCAAGGAATAGTCCGAGAAGACCGGACAACTGGCCAACTGCACTGGCTAACCATTACCCCAGAACACGATTCACAAATTGATTAACATCCAGGTTCCCAATTACTGCTGGGTAGACTGAGGAAAATGGCGTAAGGAAACTTGCCCATAGTTTCACCCTGCCCGGGGATCTCACCGGGGTCTGCTCGCTTGTGAGGTGAGAAAGCTGACCATTACACCACAGGTCACCACATGTATATATACAGTACTTTATATGTATATCTCATCAGTCCATATAGCACGCAGACTTCCATATACAAACAATACCTCACTATTGGGAATCGAACCCTGGACCTTTGTGCGTGAACAGGGATCACTACCTAGGATTGCTTTTGTTGTCCTTTTTTTTTGTGTGTGTGTTGTAATGGTCAGCATGCTCACCTCACAAGCGAGCGGACCCGGGTGCGATCCCCGGGCAGGGTGAAACTATGGGCAAGTTTCTTTACGCCATTTGCCTCGGTCTACCCAGCAGTAATTGGGAACCTGGATGTTAATCGATTTGCGGATCGTGTTCCGGGATAATGGTTAGCCAGTGCTGTTGGCGAGAGTTGTCCGGTTTTCTCGGACTATTCCTTGACACTGGGTCATGCAGCTCGTTAACTCAGGGTGAGGTTGTTGTGTTGGCAGTCCCCGGGTTATGTACGAGTTCTGCTTTTATGGACGTTCTTAAGACGATAAGTAGGAAATGCACTTAAGTTGAAACACATACCCTATACAAACAATACCTCACTAGCCAGGAATTAAACCGTAGACCTCTGCGTGTAAACAGGGACCGCTACCACCATGCCACAAGGACAACAAAAGCAATCCTAGACTTTATTTCACACAAAGCCTGTTCATTCATCTTTTTTAAGCACATAGTTGGAACGGACAATCCCCGATGGAGGTTCACATTGCTTAAAAAAGATGAATGAACAGGCTTTGTGTGAAATAAAGTCTAGGATTGCTTTTGTTGTCCTTGTGGCATGGTGGTAGCGGTCCCTGTTTACACGCAGAGGTCTACGGTTTAATTCCTGGCTAGTGAGGTATTGTTTGTAGATGGAAGTCCGCGTGCTATATGGACTGATTAGATACATACCCTATGTGCATACTATATTTACAGAACATTGTTTAAAATCCCATTATATCATAGCTTGAGTCCTTATATACATCCAAAATCACTTAATTAAAGAGGAAATGAACGACAAAACACAGTAAAAGAAAGTAAAAATAAGTCGTGAGGTAAAGGTAGTAGGCAGCTATCAAACTGGGAGGTACTACTGCCTAGAAAGATATTGGAAGCATGTGTTGTCTAATGTACCTGGGTGGGCTAATCCCTATAAAAAAAAATCAAAATTTAAAGTTTAACTTCATGGAATCTCACTCATATCAGCAGATGTTCATAAGTCGGACATACATAATCTGGGAATATATACTCTTTCACTCACATAAGTTCTTCCCACTATTTAGTAGGGTGGCTGAAATCAAGAGCAAAAATAGTCCCTCCCTTCACTCAACTTCATCCATTCACTCTAACTGTTGTGCCATCTCATGTACTGCTCTCTGCTGCCTCCTAGATGTACATCTCCTTAACTTCTAGTACTGTACAATATTTCCTTCACCCCATCCTTCCATCACCTCCTATCATCCACCTCTGAATTATACAAATGTTTTACCAATCTCTTGCTTCCCATTCTATTTTGCTTGTCCATACATCCCGAGCACACCCTGGTCATCACTCTGTCAACTTATCCATCTAATTTTAGTTTTTCTTATTCCTAGCATCTTATTCATCCAACTTGTTACTCCCAAACAAGTTATTTTTGTCACTTGTAACCTGCTTCTTCCTCATGTATCCAGAGTCCATGCTTTACACCCCCCTAGTACAGTAAGGTCAGCTCACCAATGCCTCTTTATCTCTGCTTCCCCTGACACATTTCTCTCTCCATACGTCTCTTAATGCCACTACAGGTATTGGTTTCTTCCTCTCCTTTACCCTTACTCAGGTCATCACATCCACTCAAAAATATCTAAGACACTTCACTTCCTCTTTTTTATCTCCATTCAAGCTTATATTTATTTAACGTTGTCGTCCTTCTCAATTAATTTTTATCACTATACTTTTGAATCACATTTATGACTAACTTTCTCCTAGTACTGTACAGATTCTTTTAAACACGCATGCACACACACACACGCGCGAACGCACACTCACACAAACACAGTCAGATTTCAAGTGATATCCATAAATTAAACAAATGTTACATTGTAATTACTAATGATGCAAAGATGGTCAGTAAGAGCATAAACATAGAGGTGACTATGTCCTGCCAGGTACAGTAATTAAGTAATAACTGCTGATGCAACTTTAATTAATATGACTAAAAAATTTGGCTAAGAACAGAATCAATAGATAAGAGGAACTATCAGAGTTATGAAGTGCCGTGTACTGTACATTATTAGTCTCTGTGAACTAGACCATATTTAAGTGCAGCCTTGTTCCTACAGGGCATGGTAGTGAAATATCCTCTAGTATTGCATATATAATTATCAATGACAGTCCTGGTGATGGGCAAATGAGAAGAAAAATAATCAAACATCGTCAGCTATAAGTTCAGTACAAAATAAATGAATTAAGAGGATTAATTAATATAAGATTCTTAAGAAAAAAGTTTCATATCCTTGGTAGATAAATTGTGTTCATATTCCTGTGTGTTGGGCCAATTGGTATTGTATTTCATGCAGAATGAATGAATATTACTTAAAGATTACAGTACCTGTACCTACCAGAACATGTATTTTAGTCATTATGGGCATGCACCGTACAGTAGATACTGTATGTGGAAAACTGGACTAATATGTACTGTATTGTATCGTGTACAACTGGTGTGAAAGTAAAATGAAAATACTGTATGACAGTTAAACAAATGTAACTTTTTCTTTTGAATTCATGCAAGATTCATCCCACTATGATGCAGGGTGGCTGGAATCATGGCCAAACACAGGTTCCTTCCTTCACTTGCCGTTTGTTTTTCTTACTACAGTAATACAGAAAGAAACGACATTTATGTGCTATTGTGGCACAAATAATTAGACAATTCCCTCCAAATACTACAATTGCCTTTATACAAAATAAGTACATGTGGTAATGGTGGTTGTAATATTTCCTACAGAGATAATTCATCCCGTAATTATATCTTAATAACAAAGCTACAATAATGTACTTGACAAGCACAAAAAACTTATATTCTCAGGAGTACAAAATACATATAAGCAGACTCAATAGTAGTTACATACACTTGCGCTAAATAAGAAATACAAGTTATAACTAAACAACCACATATTGAATCTAATGTTGAAAAGAATAAATGAATAAAGCGGCAAACATTCCTAGTTTTTTCTACGATAATTATTCAGTGTTTTTGATGGTAAGCTGCTGTAGTTCAGTGATCTCTCCAATAGTATGATGGTGATTAAAAAATAAATAAAAAGTAATTTTTGTGTGTGTAAATATATACCTTTACAGTCGGCCCTTAACATACGCGGGTTTAGCATACACGGATTTGCAAATACGCAAATTGCCCCGCCGGAGGAATATTCTGTACATTGAAGTAATTGAAGTACATTCAAATCGCGCACCATTCAACCCGTGCACGGCACCGAACACAGGACACCGCCCGCTCCCGCAACCTCACACACACACGCATAGCTCTCCCTCACTCAGTCAGTCTCGCTGTAACCACGCTTGTGTTGACATCAGCATTGTAGTTGCAAAAATATTACATTTCCGTGAAAGTATTATATCAAGCACAGTATGAATAGAATAAATATCACTAGCATAACAGTATTTTAACCGAAAACTATTATAAAAACGAGTAACATCTCTTGAACATCGGAAGGTTAGGTAAAGTCTTTTGTTTTCGTCATGCATTTTATCCTATTTTACATTGAAATACATTGCGTTTCAGCAAAACTACTATTTATTTCTGAGAATATATTCATTCGGGTGCAGTTTAGGTAAAATATACATGTGATGTAACATTTTTTTAACTGAAAATGATTCGAAAAACACGTACCCTCTAGCCCTGTTCAAGGAGAAGACTGGGAGGAGCTGTTTGGTGTTGAAGACGATGACAAGGAAAATGATTTTGATGGATTTTAATGAAAATATTCAGAAATATGGTATCGTAGTATTTATTCAAGTGAATTAGGATAGAATATTATTGTAATACAACATTAGTGACGATGTGGACGAGGCGGAGGGATAGAGCGGGGAGGAGGTGACTGGCGGGAGCAGGGACGAGTGGAGATGCCAGCCAGTACATTACGGGTGTATTAATTGTTTTTATAGCTATTTTTGCATTTTAATGTTAAATACTGTACATTACGTTTCAACAAAACTACCATATATTTCTGAGAACATGGAAATGTAATATTTTTGCTGAAATGATGTACGTATTACAGTGGAAAGTGGGATAAAATTGTGACGAAAGCAATGACTTTCTCTTTCTTTCGTTCAAAAGATGTTACCATAATCGCTTTTCGAATGGTTTTCAGTTGTGGGATTATAAGGCTAATGATAGGATAGAATATTATTATAATACAGTACGAGTACAACAGTTTTTTAACTGAAAACCATTCGAAAAGCGATTACGGTAAAATCTTTTGCATAACGAAAGAAAGCGAAAGTCATTGTTTTCGTCATGATTTTATCCCACTTTCCACTGTAATATGTACGTCATTCCAGCAAAAATATTACATTTCCATATTTATTTCCGAGAATATATTCATTCAGTCACAGTTAAGGTAAAATATACTTGTGATGTAATATTTTAATGAAAATATGGTATCGTAGTTTTCTTTTGTTTCAAATTTAATTAACAAAGATTGATGTTTCAAATGTAATGAACAAAAATTTATGTTCAGTATCTATAAATACACTTTAATAAATGAATACACCTAGACCCCGACTTACGACTACGTGGACTTACGACCGTCGGGACTTACGACCGCCTCAGATATAGATAAAAAAAAAAAAAAAAAAAAAAAAAAAAATTTAAAATTTTTCACCAAATGCTTCCTGTTAATGTAGCTCCTATAACTAGAATGTAAATTTATGCATTCAGCTGACTACACATTAGTTGCAGTGCTCAACACTGCATCCATTCGTAATTATTCATTACTTTTTTAATGTACTGGCATTTCATTGCAGATTTTTTTATTAATTTTTTTTTTTTTTTTTTTTTTTTATCTATGTCGGACTTACGACCTGGATTTGGGTCCCTAACCCCGTCGTAAGTCGGGGTCTAGGTGTACTTTATGTTTTACATCGTCCTGTGCTACCATACCATGCATTTGGCTACTTTGGGCTTGCTATGATGACGCAAGAGTTCTGCCCTAGCAACTGTACCGACACTCACAGCTGGTGGTGTGTTGGTGTGTCATTTCCATTGTTTACTGGTAGTTATTGGTAAATATTTTTCAACCTAACGAAACTATTACCCGTTTAGAGGTCGACCCCCAATTTTTTGCCAAATAATTTGGTCTTAAAAACTCGAACTACACACAGGTATATACGGTAAATATGACATGTAAATGTGTTTTTAAAGGTAAAGAGCGATTTTTAACATCCACGGGTATCTCTGTTATGTAACCCCCGCGTATGTTAAGGGCCGACTGTATATACATTCCCATAAAATAAAATAAAAATCTAATTTCAGGCTCATTCATAACATCCAATGTAAAATTTGGTTAAATGATAAGGTATGAATTAAATATTGCCAATGACCATGCAATTAATTTGGTTTCTCAATACTAATTTGGAAATTAATTTTGCTACTTGTCAACAATCAGGCAGCCAACCTCAACTCTTTAAAAATCAGCCACTAACTTTAGTTTGTACCAGCAACCAAGTAGTCAATAATGACAACCAGGCAGACAAATTAATAAAAACTACTACCACAGAGCCAGACTTAGCACTCGGTAAACGATCATTAAATTCAATGTTTTTCACTAGCAATTATACATCATAAAGATGGTAATCTGTAGCTTCTTAACTACAAATAACAAAACATCATATCAGACTTACATTTGGTTTGGTAGTGACTATTAATGATATTTCAACTCCCTATGTTTTGGTGTGTTGATAAAGACTAGAGTGATGAACGTGGTCACTCTCGCTGCAGCAGAGACATAAACCCAAACTGCACTGTATACAGTACAAGAATATGGACAGTGATTTTGTTTCCAACACTGGGAATAGTTGATCAACTTTCCTTATTCACAAAGACGAAGAAAAATAAGAGAATTGAACAAATTCACAACAGCCGTCATACAACATCGGAAAACAGAAAAATTACAAGATGCTAAGGAAGCAGTAAAGACTCCAGTAAGATCCTCCTAAGTCGGACTTCCATTGGTCGGAAACCCCCATTAGTCAGACTAGGGTCTGTGTGTCTGCCATCACTCACCCTACACCTCAGAGTCAGAATTGGTGGTAACTTCCGATCTGCCACCTCACATCCTTGAATTTGACAGTAATTAAACCAAGAAATAAATGCTAGTTTTAAGTGTAAATGTAGAGGTAAGTATAAGTGAAACTAAATAGTAGAAATGAAACTACAGAAAAGTAAGTTTAAAAGGCCCCCCTTTGTCATCCAACTCAAGATTCACCTGCTTCAATAATCTCAAAATTCATCTGCTACAATGTAAGTAGTACACTGTAAATAAGTATGGTGTAACTTTAATTTTGTTTTTAGATGTGATTTTTTTCAGCAAAATGGTGGTCAAAATTTCCGGGGGGGGAGGGGGGGGGTGTCCCACATAAGTTGGACTTTCGTATAAGTCGGACTAACTTGAGCCCCATAGTCTGACTTAGGGGAGTCTTACCGTAATTACAAACTCATATCACTGAAGCTGTTGAAAATTATCTTTGGCAACAGCTCAACTTAATAAGTATGAAAACATTTGGATTAGATGTGATGTTTTGCTGTTTATTAGTGATATTACAGTGATATACTGAACAATACAGTGTATATAGATAATTAATAGTTAATGTAAAATTTTATGATGTATTGCTAGAAAACATAACAATCACAGTGCTGATTGATATCCAGTCTATCACTCACAGAAATTAATCAAAATTTATAAAAGCAATGATAGCCACAACTGGCCATACACGCTACATCAGCCACAGGAAATCTTTTAAGCAATGAAGATTCTGAACCTTCGAGTTTCCCATCAATACAAGAGGATCCTCCAGTCATAATGAGCTTGTCCAGTATTGGAGACAGGCAGGACTGGCTGTACAAGAGACCAGTGACCTGAGGGCCATTCCAATACGGCACTTGTGGAGCAATACGGGATCTGTGATCACAAGAGGATGTTATACACTCATCATCCTCCAGGGCCTAAAATTTCTGAAACATGCCTTTTTATTTCCTTATAATTCATATTAAAAGTTCTTATAAAAATATTGTACTTCCATGTTTATTATTTTTATTTCACTTCAGTAAATGCAGTTCCTAAAATTTCCCACGGTAGATCAGATACACAAATGTAGAGAGTACTATAAATTGAGGAAGAAATATATAACATCCACTTCATAACAATCCCAAAAGCATCCTTAGTATGATTTATGCAATGTGAAAATTATAATCCAGAAGAATGAAGGAGGATGGGAGCAAGAGAGGAGAAAGGAGGAAGAAGAAGAGAGCTATTGTAACGATTCTGTGTGTGTGTGTGTGTAATTTTGAAGTACAATTAATTTTAGAAATACAGTTCAGTACAGTATAAAAGAAAAAATTAGTGTCATGATAATGTTACACTATTGATGATCTTACATGAATCCATCATATGTCAACTGCTAACACAACAAATATTAACTTAGGACAAGATTTTATGTATGATAAGCAACACATGGCAAGCTGTGTGTGAGGAATGTACAAGAGCTTTGCATCCATGGTAGTGAAGTGCTAGTTTAATATCTCATCACAGGTACAGATGCTAAGTTTATAATGCTGACTGCGAGAATTTTAAAGAATAATCTATTTTGCTTCCTTACTCTTGATTGGTGGTGTGGTAACTTTTTTGAGACACGTTATCATTAAGTGTTGATACTGCTGAAATATTAAGATTCTTACTTATAATTAAGGACCCAAAGTACTACTGCTACCATTTGTAATGCAGTATATGATGATTAGGATATGATTAATGGACTTTAAATTCAAACAGCTGATTATTTCATGTTTTCCCCAAAAATAAAAAAAATCATTACGAAGCCCTGTTCCTTAATGGAGAAAAAAAGTAGCACATTAAATAATACAAATTTAAACGTAATATCACATTACATGTACACAGGAAAAGCAGTGATGAATGAATTGTTAATACTATATGAGGTGGCTGTTAAGCTACAACAATAAACCATCAGTAGAAAATGGTAAGAATAATTTTAATCTAACCAAATCTTTTTTTTTTGTTAGGTTACATTAAGTTAGTCTGATTCATGTTACTATTCAATAATACTTGAATGTCACTGTTGCCTCAGCTCCCGCATGTAAACAACCACTCAAGGCTGCTCTTTGTATGGAAACTTAACACAAGATTACTAATACATGAAAAAATGAGTTATAAAACACATCAGTCACTTTTTCTACAGTAAGAAAAGGTATTTTGTAATTCTGTCAAGAAATGTTGGGGAAAACAAAGGATTGATCCAAAACTTCCCAATATACTGCACTAGTAGAATCATGGTCAGTTCTACTGTTTTCATTTTATTATTTATTGCTTACATCTTTTAGCATGAACATAAATGACTGAACACTGAAGTTTTGTGAAAAAGACAATGCTACTAGTTCAGGAGGGGGAAAGAAGGGGGGAATTACATTTTGAAATTGTTTAAAGTTAGGCCAAATGTCTTGAGAAAAGAAGTGCTGTGTTAAGTGGGAAAAACTCTGTGAGGAATGAAAATCAGCATTTCATGGTAAGTGAACACATATGTGGTTTAGTGGTTGATAACTGTCTGAGAGAATTATATTGATGGATGAAATGCTCTTTGCAGAAAAAAGGAAACTCACATTTCATTAATTTTCTGCTTTAACGTCATTGCATTATTAATTTACATTATAAAAGAATAAAGAGACCAATAATACTAACATGTATCTCTCCCTCAAAAGGTGATCAAACCATTAACCCAATCCAGTACTGGATAGTATACCAGTGAATTAACTTTGTAAATATTGTATTTTGTAGACATTTTATCTAAGATGTGGGAAAATTTGTTCTCAGTTTTCAGAGTTGACTACTGAAATTATACCAGTGAATACTGTAGTAATATAAACTTTTCAAGCACTATCTACACCAGTATTTGCACTATGATATTGTCATATTTTACCTTATTTACCTAATGGTCACCCAAACTAGTGGTAGCCATGCTGAGGAAAGAAGGCCAGTGGCCTGTGTATAAAATTAGTGCAAATAGGAACAAATGTTTTTGATTCTTCATGTCTCATAAAATGTAACTTTTTAGGGTTACTTATCAAGAGAGACCTCACCCCAATCTCCACTATTGTGACATGAAGTAAATGGTGTTGCTACCTTTATAATGGCATCTTCTACTTCACTTGTGTGTTGTGCTAAAACAAATATTAATAGTATAAATATTTGAATGTAAGAATTACAGTAAAACACACAAAAATAATACCAATGAAGGTGTTAAATTTGTACATAATACAGTAGAAGCCAAGTTATCCAGGCAACCGGTAGATTTAACTAACCGACACCAAAGTGAAATATAATAATAAAAATAAAAATTCCTCCAGAATCGGCTAGAATCGTAAGTTTCCATACCACGCCCAACGAGGATGAGCTGCCATTTTTATGGCTATGATAAACAATAAAATGGATAGATAGCACATATTTTATGTCCAAAAACTAGCTCCTTCCACACTCAGACCTGGGCGAGTCAGGGCGATGCGGCACAGTTCAGGCATTCATCCAACTGACTTACAGACGTGTGGCTGCCGCGGTGGCTGTGTGTATGTGAGGGAGAGCAGCCACACAGTTATAGCCCAGTAACCCACCGCCTCAACACACATTCATTTCCCACACACTGATGCTCCAGATTTTTCTTTATTTTATAGTTTTATATTTTCTTTATTTCTAAGCCACATTAGAGTATTGTAAAGATTTTTCCACAACTTTAATAGTTTCATTACATGCAACAATATACGAGGCGGCTGGGCTGGCGAGTCAGTGACGAAGTTATAGCTAAGGCCTTGGCTATAACCCCCCACACATGTTCACTTATCACACATACCCATGCTCTTCATTTTTCTTGTTTTATATTATATTTTCTTTATATATAAGCACTATAAGAGTATTATAATGAATTTTTGACAACTTTTATAGTTTAATTTCATGTACAAGTAACAATAAACACAGCGGCTGGGGTGGCGGGTCGGAGATGTAGTTATAGCCCATCACCTCTACACATGTTCACATCCCACACATACACACCCATGCTCTTCAGTTTTTTTAATTTTATAGTTTTCTATTAAATTTTCTTCATTTCTTTATACAGTGGAATAAGTGTTGAAGAAGTAAATTTTTCTGAGACACAAATTTGCAAGGTCAGCCTGTAGTACAGTGCATTTTAAGATTTTTGGGGGGTCCTAAGAATGAGATTCAACTAACAGGAAAACTCTTTATCCGGCACCTCTCAATCCCTTAGGTGCCAGATAACTGTGATTCTACTGTATTTCTGTAAACCTTTGTCCAATATTATGCTTTATGTATCTATGACCTGGCCAGTAAATAAGAATAAAAAAAATTAAAGTGAGCAATATGTCCTCCAAATTCATTAAAATAAACTATGGATCAACACCATTTTCAGTCTTGCATTAGTTGTCTTTGAGAGACACTCATGAAGATTAAAAAATTTACAACCAACTGTTACAGTGGGAAACTAAAGGCTATTAAACAGTTATAGTTAAATACATATTAGTTCAAAAGCATTATTTTTTTAGTATGAAAAGACGTAAAATTTCATGTTTCTATAATAATACATAGACAGGTGACCAGCATGAATATATTATCCCCTTTCCCCACTTTTAGTCACGGCAAATTGACAGATAATGGCTGAACAGCATAAACAAACAAAACAATTTTCTCAAGATATAGAAGTGGAGATTTAAGAGCTTAAGAGGGAGACATAAGTAAACTATAAGGAACTACAACGATTCACAGTAAATGTTTAATAAAGTAAAAGATGATATATTAAGTTGATATGAACAAGAAAAGGAATGGATAAAAAGAATTACCAAAAATATATCACATCAACATTTGAGAGAGAGAGAGAGAGATTATATCTAAGAAATATACAGTTAGTGGTGTCTGGAGGAGGGTCTACATAAGTTATTCAACTCTATAGAATATTCATAGGCTTTGCTATAGAGACACATTTTGTAAAAGAGCCTTGTATTGTATTGGAGAGATATAGTGAACACAGACACATGCATCAGCCATACAAACTACACTGGTGAAAGCAGGAAAATGAGATTCTACTGAAATGTTCCTTTAGCCTTATACTGAAAAGTGTTCTTCAAACTTTAAATTGCTGAACTGTCCAAACTGTACTTAAAAATTTAAGCTTGGGAATATCTGTGTAAGCTGTGTAAGAACAAGATATATAATTTGATCAGTGACACGAGGAAAGTACAGGGAGGGAGAAAGTTCTAAGGAAAGGAAAGAGTGAAGGACTAAAAGAAATATATGTTATACAGTATGTAAGGCCAAAGTAATATTTGAATAAAATTAATGGACCATTTTACACTAAGTGTAATATAAAACTACAGGGCCAAGAAAAGTTGCATTAGGGACATCTAGTGCACATAAAAGTGTATGCTGCTGAGCAATAATGGCACATAATATGAGTATATGTAACGCTGATGTTGCAGGAGCTTAAGACATCATTATAATCATGTAGGATTTTGCTGTGTTTGATATAATAGATGACCTCTATGTTCTCATCTAATTCTTATTTACAACAGAGCCCTCCAATCATACTCCATGATTCCTGCATATGTTACAGGAAAAACAGGAGGTGGAAACATTGTCCATTGGCCACTAGCAACTTCACCAACCATGGCCGTGCAGCCGTAAGGAACCTGTAGGGTCAAATTCCTAGTTATCATAAGAGAAACCCTTCCACTACAGAACCAATGGCAGTTAAACTGTAAAACATAACATGAAATAACTATACCTGTACATCAAAAAACCAAATGATAACTAAGAATTCAATAGCCACAAGTCACTAAGTATATACCACAAGACACTAAGTATATGCCACAAGTCACTACGTCATTAAA